CTGACTTGTGGCTAGGAATGAGGAAAACCATCTCCTTGTAAAGAAAGTGGTTGAACGTCATAACCAAAACTCTTATCCCCGGGGGCCTTTGTCCCAGAGATTCTCACTGATACCAGCTGAAGCCACCCCAGTGGAAGTCATCAGAAGCACTGCTTCCCTTTCCCACCCACCTAGGCAGAGATAATGTCCTTCCCCTGACCCCACCTTCCAGTATTCACGACCTTGTACAATCCCTCCCATTGAGTGGGTGGGCCTGAATCCACACAGCAGCGCTGAAGCCAAGCTAGAATATTTGGCAAAATTTTATCAAAGATTCCAAGAGAATAGGAGGGAACTAGTCAGCTACCAGGTGTAACTTACGCTTGACATGCTTTCAGGCTGACCTGAGCTCATGGTTGGTCATGAGGGTTCCAACCATGAGAGTTCCGACGCTGCAGCTGAGTTTGCTACTGACCGTACCACCAGACCGAGACTATTCTAACCTAGAATAATGGCATCAGTGGGCTCAAAGTCACCCAGGCCAGAGTCCTAGGATTGTCATGATACCCCTCTCTCAGATGTCCACAACATCTCTCTCTAAAATGTCTTTCTAGTCCCTCCTTTCTTCTCAGGTCCACGCGTCAGTTCAGGTCCTCTCATCTCTACCGGGACCAGGGCAAAGTCTTCCTCACTAACCTAACTGCCTCTGGTTCTCATCTCCAAGCCCTCTTCTACGCTACAGTCTGGGTGGTCTCTCCCCAGTCACGACCCCACCTAGGATTAGTATCCTAGAGCCAGACTGCCTGGGTTCAAATCTACCCAAGTTTTGTGACCACAAGCAACTTACTTAACCTCTGTGTGACTCTTTGTCCCCACCAATGAAACAAAGATAATAGTACCTACCTCTGACCTGTTGCAGAGGTTATGGCTGGCTGCTTCTCCGATGGCTCCCAGTGACCCCCACCTTCCGGTATTCACGACCTTGTACAATTCCTCCCATTGAGTGGGTGAGCCGCAGTCGTTTCTTCTTGCATTATATTTACACTTTGAAAAAATATAACAAAGCAAAAGTGATGAGATGTCACTTCAATATTAGTGTATAAAAGAGTGTGACTCCCACCTTGTTCACGCTCTCTCTCTGGCCCTGAAGAAGCCAGCTATCATGGCGTCAGATGCCCTATGGAGAGGGCATGTGGGTGGCAAGGAACCTCAGGCAGCCTCACTCAGCCAGTGAAGAACTGAATCCTGCCAGAAACCACGTGACTGGCCTTGGGAGCAGATCCTTCCCTAGGTAAGCCTTGAGGTAAGCCCAGCTCCAGCCAATGTCTCGATGACAGCTTTATGGAGCCCTAAGCCAGGGGACCCAGCTAAGTTGTGCCTACATGCTGCTACACACAAACTGGGAGGTGATGAATGCTGTCTTAAGTCACTGAGTTTGGGGATCATTTGTTATGCAGCAGTAGGTACTACTACAAGGATTAGGGAGAATAATACAGATAAAGGGCTAAGCACAGTGCCCGGTGTGCAGTCAATAAACATTAGCTAGTCTCACCATCATTATTATTACTTGTCTAAACACACTGCCTGAAAACACTGTGTGAGAAGAAACCATGCCTATCTATTCATCCACTGCATCCCAAGCTACTCGCATATGCTAGGCCCAGTCTTAGGTCAACAATAAATACGTGTTGACTAAAAGAATGATCAAGAAGGAACAAACTGGAATCCTCCAGTTCAATTTTACCTCCCAGGCCAGAAATGTGGCTGCAGAGAGTGGGGAGAGCAGTTTGAGTGCCCAACACTCCCTGCAGCCAGAAGACGGACTAAGTGAAGTGGTAAGGACCCAGCGGGCTGGGGTACAAGGCCCTGCAGCTGTCTCATCGTCTCCTGGAGCCAGGGATGTATGTTTTCCAGGAGCACAGTTACCAGAAAGCTCTCTGTGTGTCTACACCACATCTCTGGAAGGCAGAGGAAACCACACCTTCATTGCCAACCTTCTCTCCTGGCGAGCCCAGACCCACTGGATTGGAAACTCTGGGGGCGGGGCCAAGCAGTCTATTTTAACCAGCCCTTCTTGGCATTCTGATACACATGTAAGTTTGAAAACTGCTATTCTAAGTCTACTCAAACACATGTGAAAAAGACCTTAGAAATACAATCCAGACTGAATTAATGTTAAGATGAAAGGAGATCCCCAAACAGTGCTCCTTGCCATAAAATGCCCAGGATAAATGAAACTCCCCACTCTTTTCCACAAAACAGTTCAACAGGCAATTAAACGAACTCAGCACATTTATTTTAAATGTGCAAAATGAATTTTCATATCTTAAGAGTAACACCAGATGTTTTACCTCCTTTCCCTAATTGATTTTCCAGCCTACAGCAATTCGTCTTTATGTTTTCCAGTTGGATCTTAGCGCAGCTAGAAGAGTACGTTCCGGCAGCATTATTAAATGCCACACGCTTTAAAACAAGTCTAACTCAGGCTGCCATGCGTCATCTGAGTGGCTGTCTCCCTTAAATATAAAAAACAGACAGCTCTAGGTACCAGGCAGACTGGAGAAGGCAGGAAACCCAGAAAACGCTTTCAGAGGGTTGAGTCCCCAGGCTCTTGGCTGGTGGCAAAGCAGAGCGCTGGGCATTCAGCCCAGCCCCCACAGATCCCGCACTCCCTGGTACCAAAGGATTTGCTAGCCCTAAAAACTGCAAACAAACATTGTTTTTCAATGGAACGTTTTTTGTCTTTAAAATGAAAAGGAAAAGGTAGAATGTGAGATAGAGGGGCTGAAAGAGTGGGCGGTTGTTCAAAGAAGCCGGCCTGGATGGACCCTCTCCCGGCTCTGCTCCCAGAGGTGCCCAAACAATTCCCCTCTGTTGGCCAAGGCACCCACCCTGCAGAGCAGCAGGCCCCAGTATTGCCTGTTTAAGTGGGTGAAAGGTCACCAGCGACCAGGTTTTTTTCACTCAACAAAAACTCTTCAGAGACTGGGAGAGGACAGGGAAACTGAAGGTTCATGCTTTGAAGCAAACGACTTCAAAAGAGATCTTCTCTGCCTTTGCCCTGGATGCGGGGGTGAGGAGACCATGTACTGAAGACCCCGCAAGCACTAATTCAGAAAATAATAACCACACTTCTTGGGTCTCCGGGAGAGGTGGCCACTGATCAGTTCTCTTGCCTGGAAGCTGCTGAGAGGTGAGAGGTTTGCGCCATCATGGCTGAACCTCACACAGGACTGGAATGTGGCCCCCAAGTGTCAATCAGCCTGTCTAGTTCCGAGAGCCAGGGCAGCAAGGCTCAGTGTCTGAAATCAGAGTTCATCATGATCGAATCTCAAAATGCGGCTGCTCCAATTTTAGGTACTAACCACCCAACTGTCCGCTGTTTTTTGTTGGTTTTGGATTTTTTTCCGCCGGCCCTTTTAGGTCCTTCTAGAGACATACTGAGATGAAAACGGTACTAAAACGATCCGCTGCTTTACTGAACTGTCCCCTCCTTCCACTCAGGAGCTCTGGCACTCAAAACAACAAGCTCCACTCTCATGGGGAATTGTGTAAACCCTTGGTGATCTGGGGGAACCCAGTCACCAGCTTTCTCCAGGAAGGACCTGGCCCCACACCAAGAATTCGTTTTCCATTAACAACAAAAAAGCTGTCTAAATTTAAAATGCACAAATGACAACTTTGCAAGTTTCAAAGAATAAGAAGCAGAGCTCTGTAACAGACTTAGACACAAGTGACTATCAAACCTCCATGAAATCAAGACCTTTGGCCTCACCTAACTGGACTGAGTAGATGGGAGGACCCTCCTCTTCCTCTGAGAATGTAACAGGAATGACAACCATCACCCAATCCCACCCGCCTCCCAAAAAAGTTCTCTCATTTATTGTATTTGCTATAAAGAAATGGAGTTGGTCCCTTTTCCCAAATCACAAGGCTATCTTTACACAATATTAAACCACAGGAGCCATTTTATAAATGTCATCATCATAGTCTTTTAATATTTTACATAAAAAACTGTATGCACAGCTTATAGAACTTTTATGTAAACATCATAAGCTCACCACTTTGTCATTTGTCAGTTTATTTAAAAAATAAAAAACAAGACAACAATTTAGTAGAAGTACCACTGGGTGGGAGGGGAGAGGGAGAAAGGAAATGGGGCAGGTTCATTCTCTGTACAGAGATGCAGAGAAAATTTCACAGAGCTTTTAGAGACTGCCTTGTGAAAAAAAAAAAAAGTTTTAAATGGGCCCCAATACTTGTTCACTGCCCTTTATCAAAACAGCGTGCATACCTGCACAAATAAAAATCACAAAGCAGTGTTTGCCATCTTTTTCAAAAGAAAAAAACAACAAAACAAAAAACACAAAAATTAGCAGGGTATTTCCTCTCGTTTTTTTTTTTTTTTTTGATCATCATCATTTAAAAAAACACAGAAGTAGATGAGGTTACAGCGTACAAATGTGGTCAGAATGCTGTCTTATGCAAATGACAAGTGCATTAAGTGTCAAACAATGAAACAATTGTGCAAAGAATTCTTTAAAAAAAAAAACAAGTTTCAGCTTTAAATAAATCAAATAACATCGGTTTCTTGGACTGAACAATTTTCACTTGTAGGACAGGCACAAAGTTCGAGTATGGCAAAAACAACCCCACAGGTTGCCCTCCCTCCTTCTGCCGAGGTCGGGGAGGGGCTGGCCCGGGAGGCTGGCCCACAGGAGACGCTGTGTCTGGAAGCTGTGTCCTCTCAGCCCCAAGTCAGTTGCAAATGTCTTCTCCAGGGGTCCGGAAAGATGGCCAAGTCCGGTTCGTGCTCAGATGGGCGCCGGACCCAACCTGGGCCCAGAGGTGTGCTAGCGACCTGGTCACTCCTTCCACCACCACCATTAAATAACACCATCTTCCCTCCGAAAATAAAATTATATCTATATTTATAGAACACCCCTCCCGTCCTCCCCAGCCCTCCCCTCCGCAGTTCCCAGGGTCTATGTTACAGACAAGAGGTTGCAGGCGCTGTCTGGTTAAGGGTGAACATTTGATGGGGCGCAGCCGCAGTCCCAGCCATGCTCGCCCTGGGGGACCAGAGATGGGGGTGGAGTGAGAACGGGGCGGGGTGAAAACCGGGCGGGGGAGTCGGGCAGACACACAGCCTCACACCCTGAGGCCCGGCTCTTCGGAGGATGCTCAGGGGACCCTTGGCTTTCGGCCTGTGTAACACAGCTGGACGCTCGCAGACGCTGGGAAAGGGGCGCCCGGTGCCCACGCCGACTCTCGGCGCCAGAACCAGAGCCGCCAGCAGATGCCAGGCAGTTCGGTGGGGTCCCTGGGCAGCGCAGGTCTCCCCTTCGGCCGGCACGCGGGGGAACGGCCAGGAGGGGGAGCCGCGCCGGCAGCGGCAGGCGGGGGGGGAGCACCTTACAGCAGTTGATGCAGCCGTTCTGGGAGCCGTAGCGCTTCTGCAGCGCGGCGCGCGTGGCCGTCTCAAAGACCTCGCGCACGCCCTCCTTGGTCTTGGCGGAGCACTCGAGGTAGTCGTAGGCTTGGATACGCACGGCCATGGCGCGGCCGTCGTCCGTGCGCACCGGTTCCTGCTTCATGCGGGCCAGCTCTGTGCGGACGTGCTCGTCGCTGCGCAGGTCTTTCTTGTTGGCCACCAGGATGATGGGCACGTTGGGACAGAAGTGCTTCACCTCGGGCACCCACTTCTCGGGGATGTTCTCCAGTGAGTCCGGGCTGTCCACCGAGAAGCACATGAGGATGACGTCGGTGTCCGGGTAGGAGAGCGGCCGCAGGGGGGGGGCGCCCCGCCGTATCCCACAGCGCCAGCTCCACCTGCTTGCCGTCCACCTCGATGTCGGCCACATAGTTCTCGAAGACGGTGGGCACGTACACCTCGGGGAACTCGTCCTTACTGAACACGATCAGCAGGCACGTCTTGCCACACGCGCCGTCGCCCACCACCACCAGCTTCTTGCGGATGGCCGCCATGAGCGGGCCGGGCCCGGGCAGCAGGAGGGGGCCCGCAAACGCCTCGCTGCCGTCCCGCTCGCCGCTCACTGCTCACCTCCCGCTGCGCGCTGGGGGCAAGGGTCGCTAGCTGCACCCAGGCCCCGCGATGGCGCGTTCTCTCGGTGCGCTCCGGCTGCCGCGGCGGAGGCGGTGGGGGCGCGGGGGCATAGGGCGAACCGTGCGTCTCGTCGCGCTGTTCCCGGGCGTGGCCGCTCTTCTTGCCTTGGACCAGGGACGGGTGGGTTTGTGCGCAACTGTAGCTCGAGCTGCGGACTTGGCCTGTCTCCCTCCCGGTGTGTCCAGGCCTCGCTTAGCGTCCTGGAGGACTCACGACTACAGCCGGACTGCGGTGGCAGATGCAGGCTGCGGCCCTAGCGCCCGCTATTTAAGGATTCCGGCCACTTTCTTAATATAGCCACCCAATGGCAAGCGAGCCGGCTGAGCTCATCGCTGCGGAGCTTGGCTCTGATTGGTCGCCCGCTGCTGCCCGCAGGCGGGGTCGGGCCAGCTTGATTGACGGCCCAGGCCGCCGGGTTGGGAGAGGCGCGATTGGGGAGTCTGATCCCCGGCCCGCGCTGCGGAGCTCTGGCGGCCCCGGGGTCCCCATCTACGCCCACCTTCCGCGCTTGAAGCCCGGGAGCTGGCCGCGTGGAGCCTGAGGGGTCTGGATGAGGGGTTCCGAAATCCGAGGCACTTTGTGGGGGCGTTGGCGACTGCCTCGCCTTCAGAATTGCTGTTTCCTGGCAAACTCCCTGAGGGTGGTCGGACCGTGGGGGAGGGGCCCTTGCGTTTGTTTTTAAGTAAACACACACACACACACACACACACACACACACACACACAAACCCTTTTGTTTCCTGAAAAAAAATTTTTTTTTTTTTTTTTCTTTCGGAGGCGGCCTCTCCTGTGGTCGAGTCCCCAGGCTCGGGTACTTGCCCTAAAGCAGCCTTAGGTTTGGACCGTGAATCAAGAAACCGTCTGGAGATCCCACTGCCAGCCCCTTGACTGCCCAGACTTTACGTCTCTCCGTGAAGATTAGGGGAAGCAGCGCCGAGCTTCAGAACAATGAAGAGGGAAGGCCAGGGCTAGTCGGCTTGGTGGAAATTACCCGGCGGGGAAAGGCAGACGGTACTTGCCCTAAAGCAGCCTTAGGTTTGGACCGTGAATCAAGAAACCGTCTGGAGATCCCACTGCCAGCCCCTTGACTGCCCAGACTTTACGTCTCTCCGTGAAGATTAGGGGAAGCAGCGCCGAGCTTCAGAACAATGAAGAGGGAAGGCCAGGGCTAGTCGGCTTGGTGGAAATTACCCGGCGGGGAAAGGCAGACTTGGTGCTGTTTTGCAGGATTAAGTCTGATCGTGGATCTTACTAAGCAGGAGAACTGTCTAGTGGAGAGAGCACAATAGAACCCACCTACCCCAAACCCCCTTAAACAGATGAAAAGGCTTGAGGCGGAGGATTGGGGGGACCAGTGTTTGCACGTGGGAGCAAGCAAGTAAGTATCTGTGAGTGATAGCTTAGGGGACTCCAGACAGACGTCAGTATATCCCCATGGCTCCTGCAGGAAGCACACGTAAGTGATAGTTTAGGGGACTCCAGACAGACGTCAGTCGTCTATCCCCATGGCTCCTGCAGGAAGCACACGTACCTGTGACATAGAAGGACCTAAGCACACCAGATTTCAATGGACAGAAGTGTGGAGGGGAGACAGTCAGGGACAGCCCACCAGAAGGAGAAAGAGCTTGAACAAAAACAGAAAGGTGGGAAAGAACTCTAGGACCAGGGCATAGCTTGGGGTGGCTGCTCCTGGTGGAGAGATGGTTGAAGCTCAGACCGGGCCCCAGCCTGGTAGGGCAGGGCTAGAACTGGAACTATGAGGTTCGTTTGAAGTTGGCTGTGTGACATCCAGCGCCTTAATCTCCACACTACCTGCTGGCCCCTTTCTGAGTAAGTTGGGCTGCATCCATCTGGAGTCAAAGGGATGCTTCTCAGTTTTTCAGCAGAGGACAAATCCACCACATTATGGTGAGGTTATTGTCTTATATTTTGTCTCCTTCCCTAGACTGTGAGTTGTTGGGAGGCCAGGATGGGGTCTTATCTCAGCATTTTGAAGACTTAGCACAAGGCCTGGCCCCTTTTACAAGAATTAGTAAATGACTGGAGAATTAACCCGAATACTCAGGAATTCAGGTTGGAACTTTCTGGAAGGGTTTTTTTGTTTGTTTGTTTTGTTTTTGGGGAGTTGTCATTGTTGTTGTTTTCTTTTTTTAAGGTTCTTGCCATAGGGTGCGTGCACTGGCCAGAGAAAAACAGAGAGAGACAGAGAGATAGAAAGCGAGAAATCACCCCCCAGGGGAGATGGCCACGCCGCAATCCCTTCTCCTCCATTCTCCTCCTGGGATTCTGGGCATGCATGCACAAGTGCCCAGCAATTCTCAAGCCTCCAGATCTGGGACTCGGAATGGGTGGTCCATGTGGGAGTCCAGCAGCTCAACCACCATGCCACCTGCAGGCCCCCCTGAGTAATTTCGTTGTTGTTTATTGGTATTTGTTCTAGGGCATGTGCGCTCATGGGAAGGAAAGAGACAGAGACAGAAAGAGGGAAAATGAGGAATCACCCCCAGGAGGGATTGCCAAGCTGAGAGCTCTGCTTCTCCATTCTCCACCTGGAATTTTGAGCATGCATACGCATGTGCCTCATGTGATTTTCAAGCCACCCAATCTGGGGCTTGAACCACAGTCAACCACATGGAAGTCTGGTTGTTTTAACCACTGCACCACCTACTGTCCCTTGACTCCCAGTGATTTTTTTTTTTTTTTAAGCTGTAGCAACTGCGACTTGAATTAAGAAGGTAGCCATGTGGGATCCCACTGCCTTAATCTCCACACCATCTGCTGGCCCCTTTCTGAGAGTTTCTTACCTCAAGACTCCAGGCTCTGCTTAATAATCATGCAACCAAACCCTTGCAGCCAGTTGTAACTGAACCAGTGTTTTCACATGCCATTCTATGTTAAGATTTAGGTTTCAGGGCTGGACAATGGTGCAGCAGTAAAATGTAAAGTTCTGTGAGACTGACCTACATGAGAAGGTTCCAAGTTCAAATCCGAAGACCTCCCTGAGTACACCGGGCATGTGTGTGCCCATGATCTGGGCCTGGCTGAGGGTATGAGTGGATATTGGTGTCAAGACCCTATTGAGGATGTTGTCTTTTTGTCTCTTTTAGAACTTATGGAAGAAATAAATCAATAAACTACAAAAACAAACAAAAACAGGGGCCAGCAGGTGGCGTAGTGGTTATGGTGCTGGACTCCCACATGGCTGACCACAATTCGAGTTCCAGAGCCAGCGACTTGAAAATCACACCAGGCACATGTGCATAGGTGCTCAAAATCCCAAGAGAAGAATGGAGAAGGTATTGTAGCATGGCCATCCCCTCTGGGGGGGATTTCTTGTTTTCAGTCTCTCTGGCCAGTGCATATCCCGATAGCAAAAATCTCTCAAAAAAGAAAGAAAGAAAGAAAAAAAAAAACCTTGGTTCCTATTTGGCTGTACGAATATAATCAAATTAAGTAAAGGGTTAGTGCTGTGAACCCCTAGATTCCATCCTATAGAGAACATTTCATTCAAAGGATCAGGGCTTTGCTCCTCATACTAGATTACTTCTACTTCAACAGTCAACTCTTTTTGGAGTGGGGCAGGGGGTGTTTTTGTTTTTCAGATAGAAGAACTGATCCGTTAGCAAGTCAATAGATTTTTTTGATCATTAGTTCAGGGCTGCAATCTGGAAACTTTTTTTCAGTTAGCCTATTAGGAAAATCATATCTACATACACTTTTCTTCTTTTAGTCAAAAGCTTTTGTGGGCTTTGTATTGTTAACATTGCTCTCCTTGGTCTTAATATAGCTTGGGAATCTGGGCAATGTCCTTACACTTCAAATAATAAGAAAATATAAAACAATTAAAACTTTATGCCATGCTTTTTCTTTTTATATAATACAAAGAATCAGGAAGAAAGATTGAATTCACACATTTCCTGATTTCCAGACATATTATATGAAGTGTTCCAAGCTCAAATCTCAATATCAGAATAATTTCTAAAAATATGCAGTTGGTAAATACAAACAGACTTCCAAAAGTGCATGGAAAATACATATTATGAGAAGCTATGCATGGATTTCAAACTGTTTGTGGACTAAAATTAGCTCATACTTTAATTCCATTTTTTCTTAAACTTTTTGAAGCTCCCGCATATGCCAAAGTAAACAAATAGAAAATCGTGTTCTGCAGAGACTTTGTTGCATGACTGCTTTTTTCTTTTTTTTTTCCAGGATGCTTTGACAAGCTCTGTGGAAATTGGCTTGCTGCTTCAAAGACTGCACCACTCATAGGATAAACTTTTCCAAACTAGGTGATGTCCTGAACAACCTCCTCCCTGCCCTGTTGCTCTTCATAAATATTCAATTGAAAGGCACAGATATTTCTTTTCTCCAGCATTTTCTGGGGGCCTTTTGTTGTTGTTTTTGCAGTTCCCTAAATGTGTCATTAGACTGTCTCTTTCCCATCTTTCCTTTTTTTTTTCTTGTGAGCACCAATTTCTATAAAGTTCTCTCTTAGGACTGCTTTCACGTGTCCCGTGGGTTATAGAAGTTTGTGTGCTCACTATCATTGGTTTCAATGAATCATTTGATTTCCGTCTAAATTTCTTCCGTGGTTGGGAAGCCATTCTAGAGTACGTTGTTTAGTTTCCATGTGTTTGTGTATATTTGCACTCTTTGGCAGAAACTGAGAGATTGGAGGGTGTAACAGCAGAGAGGGAAGCTGTGGATGCTAGGGACAGTGTAGGAGGGGATAGGTAGTGGGGGATGTGAGGAAAGGGGTTGGGGGAAAAAAAGAGAAGCATTTAACAGACACAAAAGTGAAAACGTATCTGTTGATGATAATGTATAATGATAGTATCTGTGACCTGACTGATGCACACTGTATTATGCTGGGAAAACAATTTTCTATGTTGTAAATATGTACGGTGATTAAGTGTAAAAAATTTAAAAGGAAAGGATAAAATTTGACTCTTCTTTGGGAACAAAATTTGACCCTTTCATTTCAACAATTAATTATTAACATATAGATTCAATGTGTGGCAGGTAATAGCGTACCAGTGAGAGAGGGAAGTTATCTTTTTGAAAAAAGGAGAATATTCACCCATCATCAGTCTCCAACCTAATTTACTTCATTTCGTTTTGTTTCGTTTTGTTTTGCCCATCACTTGTAAATCACGCCCACTCCTCTAAGACCAGATCAGAGATCGGAATTTCCATTATATTGTAGTGCCACCTTGTGGCAATCTTTATGGTTTTCTGTTTTCTATTTTTC